TACTACTCTATATAAACAGCAAAAAAAAAAATGCTTTCAATAATCAAACCCATAAGGGAAACCAGAACAACTCAAGAGTAACAATCTGATTCTTTGCTTAAAAATCTCTTTGGAAACTTCCATGAGAGATCCTGGAAGACTGTTCCATATATTTGACCCTCTGTATAAAACACTAAACTGTGTTTGAGTTGTATGACAAGGGGGTCAGATAAGACAATTTCTACGAGTTGAATACCGGTGAAATTCGTTATTAAAAATAAAAATGTTACAAAAATGCTGGGGAAGTAACTTTTTATAGAACTATAAACAAATAAAGCAATTTGAAGTTGATTCACTTAGTAAACACTAAGAATATATGCCTGAGCAAACTGAGTGAGAGGGATGTCTACGATTTACACAAAATATTATTCTTAAAGCTCGTTTGTGAAGTCGAAAAGAAAAAGACCAAAAAAAAAACATGATCACTATATTTGATAAGCAAACACAGTCCTAATCTGTAACTAAATTTTCAGGTTGTCCCCTCATCTGACCTAAATTCAGCCGAAGAGTTCTTGTTTTTTATTATGTTYAGACTATGGAAAGAAAAGTTCCCACATGTGGGTTGGACACCACCAGCCCTCAGTAATGAGGRCGTTGCTTTGGTCAGTTGTAGTGAAGAAAAAGCCGAGTTGAAAGGTAAAGCTCTCAGTTTACTGGTCTGTCCAGGTTCCAACCATCACCTAAGGTCATGAGGCATGGATCATAACTGAAAGTACGAGATCCAAGATACAAGCAGACGAAAAGAGCTTCCTTCAAAGGGCGGTCGGGCTCAGCCTGAGTGAGGAGCTTCTTATTAGATACAGCAGTTAAATATRGAGTTTTATTATACTGGTCAGTTTTACTTAACTTCAAGGTAGGAGGTGTAAATTGATTTTACATGTTTAATGCTGTTTTGGTGGAGATCTGCTTGAATAAGATCCCCGCCAAAAAATAAAATAAACTAATCAGTCAAACTTTACAGAATATTTGAAAGTCATTTCAGATACAACACGGCAYATTACATGATCATATTCATAAGATACAAAAAAATAGCATCTTTACAGTTAACAAACAGACGGTATAGGTTTTTAGTCAACAGAACAGTGTGTGGTTTAAAGACTGATGCTGGCCTGTTTAYAGTTTTTCTTGGTTGCTTTGACACAGTAGTCCACTCAAACTCCACATTTTTCAAACAGGGAACACAGGACTCAAACAGTGACACTGATGGTCAACGTGACACATTTTGTTTGCAAAAGGCTCTGACTGAGCCAAAACTTTTCAAATATGAATCAAAAGCAAATACTGAATCAGAAAATGCTTTGATGCTAATTTTATTTATTCCAAGAGGTTTTTTTTTTTAAAAAAAAACTGTGGCTAAAATATAAAATGCTGTAAATATTACAGACAAAACTGTAAATATAAACCAAAATAAAACTTATCACAGAATAAGAATTTAGGAAAATAAAAATAAAATCTATTAGGGTATTAGAAAAACCCACTATTGGTAATCGGTTTGTTCTGGACCTCCTCCATCCATGCTGCTAAAGAACAACACAGACGTTGCACATTTTAAGCCCTGAGGAGGGTCAAACAGGTGATTCTGTGATTTCCTGCTGAGGTAGCCTCTAATATTCAGAAACAGGTGGTTTGTGTTTGTCACCAGAGCTAATACAATAAAGTTGAACTACTGGATTGACATCCATGTTGACTTTTCAGCAAAAGAGTGAAGAAATTATGTCAATCCAATGAGAAATGGTTAACACCTTTTCAAGACRTGACTTCTGCTCTGCTGAATTTTTAATGATGAAAATGAGTGGMRCCTAGTTTCTTTAACTGGGTCAAAGCAACCAAGAAAAACYGTAATAATGTGAAAGAGTTCCTGTGATGACTGCTGACATATGGGCCCAAATGTTCCTCAACCTGTCAGGAAACATGAACAATGTAAGGTGGAAAAATCTATTCAACAATTTAAAAAAATAGTGTAAATACAACACTTTCTTGTGGATTTTAAGTTTCATTTCGTTTTGTCACAGTTCAACAARCCATTAATGGATAATTTGGTCACTAAAATAGCTCGATCTTCTGCCGCCTATCCATAGTCTGGTGGTGGAGGCAAAAGGTCTAGGAGAACAACCCATCTTTCTTCCCAGTGACATCTTACAACTCATCCTGAGGCCTTCCCAGGCCAGAGAGGATACACAATCCCCCCAGCAAGTCCTGGATCTTCCTCTGGGCCTTCTGCAGGGAGATGTTAACAGAACACCTTGTCCAGGAGGCATCCTAATAAGAACCACCTCAACTGACTTTTTTCAGTTCACAGGAGGCCCTACTCCAAGCTCACGGGGGGGGGCTTCCAGCCTGTGTATGGATGTCGGGCATGTGGGGTTATGATTCTTGCTGTGKCCCTGTGGAAGTATGGAGGAACGATGGTGTCGCTGTCTGYTTTTGATGAYGTCATAGACRTTGAAATGACGATGATGATTGTAAGCTACAGCACAATTTTATAAATCAAAATATGTAAAAATGATGAAACTTTCTCTTTAAAGAAGTGTTTTAAGGTTCAGACTGGAATTAAAAACCAGTGGACAAGCAGACTCCAATAAATTTCTTCAGTTGTCTCTGCGTCCCTCTGCTTGTCGATGTCCTTCTGGCCTTTAGCAGGATTTTCTGYACAGGAAGACGGTCTTTCAATCCCACAGCTTTGTAAAGTCCTCACAAAGACAAAATTGTCCGAGGACAGCRTGTCCATGCGKCCTGTAGAGATGGACACACATATATTTAGGTTTTAATGTAGGAATGATGTGTTAAACTTAGTGAATGTTTGATTATAAACTGTGAGCTAAAGAYGAGGCTAAYTGACCTGACTGCAGCTGCAGCATCCAGACACATCTGACTGAGAGCCAGGAGGAGGCCTGAGGTGAAACCAGGTCCTGATGTCAGAACCATAGCTATATATGAAGGCTGAGCTTCCAGCGTCCTCACGCAGCAGCCATCTTGGGAGGGGAGCTTGCCCACTCTTAACATGAACGTGTGTGGTGTATTTACTATTTAAATAAYCATAACTTGGTCAGTTTTGATCGGACTTTCAAACTGATTTTTTTTTTTGTTATAAAGATGAGACATGTTATAAAACTGCATACTTATAATGGACATTCATATAATAATTATGTTGTTTTAATAGGTAAAGTATATATACACAGAATACATTTAGGTTACTTTCACAGGTATTCACAAATAAAAATATTAAGCAAACTTATACACAAGTCAAAAATAATACAAAATAGTATTATCAGTGGTAATTAATATGAAATAACCCTGTTTTATATTTCCCTCATATTTTCCCCTAGACATGCAA